TCAGTGTAGTTTTAGCGAACTCCCTTGAACCCTGATAACTATCGGCAAACCCTATGCGACTCCTGTGATCCCAAGCGAACCGTATGTGATGCGCGAGTACTTGTCCAAACCCCGGCAGAGTCTACCAGAACTCTCGGGAATACAAAACACGGCCACAGAATGTTTGAGCCCCACTTGAGAACCTTGAATAAGGCGCAAAGCACTTGAAAATCGACTCTCTGGATATGTTTGCGTTGTGACTCGTTATGACGGGATCTAGGTTTGATGACCAAGAACAAGCTACGCTTCCACCACGAATGATTGTTAACGCATAGACTATTCTTGCGATTTCACTGTAAGATGGCTGTAAAAAGATGTGAAGCCAGTCAATATTCATGAAATACCTTTTATTTCATGTTTGAAACATCTACCAGAATTACAAAATGCTGATTACTAACCAATTATAGAAGAACCACACGAAAACACGTTCTTCAACCCCAAAGACCGTAATCTACAGGCTACACTAAGTACCTCTTGAACTTTCACGAATTCTCAGGCTCCTGGTAGTCATATCGCTCATTTTAAGTTTGACTATCTTCCGGATTCCGAGAGACTCATAGATCAAACAAGACTCCCTAGTACCCAAAGGATGGACCCCCTAACACCACAAGATTAAGTGTGCTTCTCACTTGTCTGAGCTGTAGATGGTTTGACCGGCTGCTGATCATGTGCGCTGCTCTGCAATTCTCCGCCAACCTGTGGCCCCCTTCCAGAGCTACCTGTTTTCGCCACGGATACTTGAGATCCTGGTCTTCTCGCTCTATCCCGTCCTCCAGTGATTTGATTGGCGCTAACCTGGACAGACCCTGCCACTTCAACTGATTTCGGTTGTAAGGCGCTTGAAGGGAAAAAAGGTGGGGAAGCGGAATTCAGTGAACCCGCAACAACCTTCCGAGGAGGAGCTGAAGACTCGTCTTTTGTGCTCTCATCCTGTACCCCGACGTTGCTGCTTCCTGCACCGTCGTGTGTTCCCATACTTGTTGACGGGGCTGATTCTTCCAGTCTGTTGTGTTCTACAACTTCACTTCTTGCAGGCCGGCCCCTCCCTCGCCCACGCCGTGCACGGCTCGCGTTCAACTCCTCCGAATCGCTGGCAAGCTTGCCTACCCACCCCCTGTTTCGATCCCGATTGACGCGCCCCCTGCCTCGACTTCTTCCGCGTCCGCCTCTTGACAGCCCTTCATCGCTGTAACTATCATCGCGCACATTGAGTTCCTCAAATAAATCATGTACCCATGGCTTCTCATCCTTGGCTTCCCAGAGCTTCCGGCTGCCTCCTACGCCCCGCCTGCATTCCTTGGCCCATTAAACACTCTCTCAACCTTGACACAACACCTACAATGCACTGCACTTGCCATACACGGGGAGTAACTGTCCGAAAATTTGAATCACTCAATATCCTGTGATCACACGGTATTCGCCCAAGCCCACAATAATCCCGTTTCTTGTCTGGAACCCGATAGACCACGCTTGCCCCGTGAAAGCTGCACCTACGACGACTCAGAGTTCAAGTCCCTTGCCATTTGGTTCTGCCTCCCTGTCTGCTTAACCCCCTTTTCCCTCAATCATGCCCTAGCTTCCTCTCCTCTGACTATAGTTTGACAAGCCAATAACCCAGCACAGATGTAATCCTGAAACGACTCCGGATCACGATTCATGGAAATCTATCACGCGAAGAGGATCACTCTGCTGGGATACTTTCGGTCATTCGAAGCCGAATGCGTACAGCAAAGGGAAAAGCGTGCGCGCCTCTTACCAGAGAAGGACACGGCTCTCACCCCAACCCCAAATCACTAACAACCACTCTCGTCACCAAAAAGCCGCGAGATTTCATATTGACGAAACCCGGCAATATGCTGACTGAAGCTTGGCAAATTGCGGGGCGATCGTAGTTGACATGCTCCTCAGCAGCGACGGCGAGTGCGGTGAAAGAAGAAGAAGAAGAAAAAAACACAACCAAACACCAAACACGGGCAGAAAGATGGCCATTAGGACGGACGAAAAAGCAACTGCTGGCTTGAGCATACTGATTTACCTGGGACGAGCTCCACCAACTCCGCGAGAGCGATCGTCGTGCATGTAAAATGCCCCCGCCGTAGGAACAACGAAGGGCTCCGCCTCCTTTTTATCCTCTTCGCCAGCCTCTTTGCCGTCGGTGGTGCCCGCGGCAGCAGAGCCCTGCGAACCATCCTCTTTGTCTGCACTTTTTCTGCTCCCGCCCTCCTGATGATGCAAACCCTCGTGGTCGTCCTCCTCCTCACTCACCAAGCGCCTGCGTCGCAGTAGAGCAGCACCCTCCTTCTCCTCGTCGTCATCCTCCCCGTCGTCGGGAGGCGTGCCCTCGCCCTCCTCGGCGTCTTCGTCAGAGAAGGAGTGGTGCGACGAAGATGCAGGCACTTCACGCTCCTCGTCGTCGCTGGCCTCACGGCGTCGCAATGCGAGGGCAGACGTTCCATCACTGTCGCTCTCGTACTCGCCCTCCTCCAAGCCGGACTCGCAGAGCGTGGCAGCAGCCATGGTAGCTGCAGCAATGGAAGCGATGCGAAGAACTCAGAACCAGAGCTAGGGTTAGCGTGAAGCAGACGGGGTGGAAAATCCAGGGGGCATTGGAAAATCACCAAGTCCGAGATGGAAATTAGGACGAAGCAGCCGAAGAGCTTCACCGAGGATCGACGAGCCCGAGAATTTGGGTCAATGCACCCCCGGATCGTGGCTCCTAGGGTTTGCAAAGAGGAGGGAGGAGGAGGAGAAAAGTAGTGATGACAGAAATCGGGAAGGAAGGGAGGAACTGCTGCACACCGACGGAAAGATCAGGCCTGGGCCCTCCCTCCCCGCCTGTTCTA